AGTTGTTGACTAGTAATTGACTATTGCTTTGTTATTTTACATAGATCAGTAGTATTAGTTTGCTATACTTGGATTTATGTAATTCCAAAATTAAAAAAGGAAAAAGAAAAATTTGCTCAAGTTGTTATTTTTCATTGCTTGCATTTATTGTTCATTGATCTTTACATGTTATTTAGCTGTTTGTTCAGTGCGTGTAGTTGCCTAGTGGCTGTCGTATCACTTTTAGTGTTAATACTTTAGCCATGGACCCCTCACAATTTTATGCACTCGCCCGACAAATAGCTACTATCCAATTTCAAATGACCACTACTCTTGAAGAGGGTAGGAACCTAGCTACTAGTTTTAATAATTTTAGGCAAATTCCTCGTATGACTGATATTGATAATTTTAAAGTGTTCCGTAAGAGAGAATATCATCGTCAACAATGTGATCAAAAATATTTTCGACACAATCGTAGGAATAGCTATAACTATCATGATACTCAATCTCTCCCTCTTCAAAAGGAGTGTTTCTTTAGAGACATTATATTAGATACACCTACTTTCGATAGTTGCTTTGATCCTGAAATTTTTACCCAATGGAATACCCTTACGCAAGGGAATCGACTAGCGACCAGGTACATTGCTCAATTTGAGGAATTTCGAATGAAGTGTCATATCATTGAGGATGAGGCCCTGATTTTGAGTAGATTTAAACAAGGTCTACAAGATGATTTTAGGCGTGAGCTTTTCCTTCGGGGGGTCATCACTCTTGATCACACTTACTCTTTAGCCCAACATTATGAGTTGATTACTGGTACTCCATATGAAAAGTGTGGTGCCATCCATGCAGCCATAACATCAGCGCCTCTTCTTCTTAAGTCTATCAGAAGACCTTTCCTGTCTAATAATTCTCATGTGTTGGAAAATATGAGTAAAATTCTTGAAATTCCAAGGACTTCTTCTCAGTTGCAAACTTGCAATGCTCCAAATATAAGGATGTTGGCCACATCTCTTTCAAATGTCCTAGCTGAGCCCTAGTCATTGAAGTACGAAAGAATGACATAGATGAGCCATTAGAAGATCTAATCTATGAACCTAAACTTGAAAGTTTTGATAACTTGGATGATAGTGAGGACACCTCCTTAGGTGATACCCGGACTCTTATGGAGAAACTAGATATTATACCCCTTGTTCTTGACAACTCTCGGTTACATGTTCTATGTCGTACTCTTACCCAACCCAAAGAGGCTGATGATTTTGCTATTCGCTTGTAGAGAACCCCGTCGCCTATGTTTAGCACTAAATTGAAATTCTCCACTACAGACCACCATCAAACTAATGGTCAAACTGAGGTTGCTCACCCCAGTCTTGGTAATTTCTTAAAATGCCTAGTCCATAAAAATCTTGGAAATTGGGATTTGATTTTTCCAACAATTCAAATTGCATATAACAATTCTCTGAATCGATCTCTAGGTCCGAGTCCCTGTGAAGTTATTCATGGTTACAAGTCTAGGAGGCCTTTAGACCTTATTTCCATGTCTCTACATGCTAGTGTGTCGATGCCAGCTGAGGTAGTTGTACATCATCTTCATGACTTGCATATTGAGATCAATAAACAATTTAAAACAAGTAATGCATAATATAAATTTCGAGCTAGTTTACATAAACGGCATATTGAATTTAATACTGGCGATTATGTTATATTGCAAGCCTATAGTGTTGGTCCTTTAAAAATTTTAAAGTATGTTAACTCAAATACATATGTCATTGATCTTTCATAACATTTTGTCCACCGCTCTATTTTAACTAGTAAGGACTTCGTTGATTACAAAGGCTATTTTGATCCCCTTGATGATCCTTTTCTATGGCTACCTAGGAGCTCCCACATTGAATTTTTTGCTATGTATACTTCAATACCACCTGCTATAGCGCACAAAGATAAAATTGATACTATTTTAGATAAACAAATTGTGTTGACCAGTGATGGAAAGATTCAGTGCTTCCTTGTTCATTGGGCGGGTCAACTTGGGTTTGACTGTACATGGAGTCCCATAGAGAAACTCTAGCAGCTTGATCTAGATTTATTGGAGTTAGCAAGATTTTTCTCTGTGCAGGTCATATTGGTTACATCATAATCTTGGGTATAATATGCAGCTTGCTTTGTCGTCATTTGTTTAGTCTCGATATTTGGTTTTTTCAGAAAGATCGTCCATGTGGTATAACTTGGAGCATTTTAGATATCGGATCGACTATTGCTTTTTGATTTGTCTACTCGACAGAGTCGAGTTCTTTTCCCACATGGGAAAGTTGATGAGGACATCACCTATATTTGTTATGTTTTGGATTATTTCTACTTATGTTCAATTAGATTAATTGGGCTTGTTGTCTTTGGGCTGGCCAAGGCCCCTTTATCTTTAGGTTTGTTTTCCTTTATATATGGCATGTATTGTATGTTTTGAGGATGGTTAATGGTTGACGAATTGAATTGTGGTTTGCTAGCAACGTCGTCTTCCTTCCCTGTCTTCTCTCCCCTCTCCGGTTTCTCCCCCTTCCTTCTTCTTCTCTGGCTGTCTTCTTCTGCTGCTCCTATTCTGCTTTTTCTGCTGGTTATTTCAACTTCTAATTATCTTCTAATATTTTAAGTTGGAAAATTCTCAATCCATCCTGCATCACATTACCTTTAGGGGTGACGTATATCCAATTCCACTTTGTGACCCACTTATGCTTAAAGGGAAGCAACCATATTTAGCCTGCCTTAGGGAGACAAAATTGCAGAATATCAAATGGAATAAGCATGCTGATGAAGACCAGGAATATATATTTTGTTGCAACATTGTTTGTACCAAGGGAAGACAAAGGAAAGTAGTAAGAAAAATGAAATCAACAGATTGTTCAATGTCTTACCTCGGTCAGGTCTTTCTCCTTTTCAAATTGGCATCTTATGTTGGTTCTCATTCTATAATTTTTGGTTCCTTATGTAAAACTGGAGAATTTCTGCAAATTATTCAAATTTGTCCTAGATCACTTTCTTAAGCTGGAAAAGATTATTTTATAAAATGTGAAAATTATATAATTTAAGGTTAAAAGAATCTAATGATCCGAGTAAGAGATTGAATTGGGCAGCCTTTCATGAATAGGCTGTGGTGTCTGTTATCTTGATCTGCTATTTCTTTTGTAATCAGATAATATAATAATTTGTCATTGTTTTTTATGTCCCTTGGAAATTCCCAATCATGATAATAAAAAAAAGGTTGAATTGCCAAACTCTATTATTCTTCTCATCAATGATGTGACAAAATCTCTATGTAGCTCAATTATAAAAGAGCGTCTTGAAATGTTGACGCTTTATTTACTTTCTTTTGTCTCGTCTGTGCAGAGATGATGATTGGAGCATTGAAGGGAAAAACAACACCCTTTCTTTTCCATCATACTATATTGATGAAAATGTAAGTTTTATGGAGTTCCATGATGCCTATGAAATTGCAATATTCTACAATATGGCACCCTGGCCTGCTGTTGCATCATTCTAGTGTACCACATGATGCTTATGTTGAGCAAATTTTGTATGTGCATGTATTTTTTTTTTTTTTTCCTTTTTGTTTTCGTACTTGAGGGCGTTAATTATCCTGTTTCTTTAACCAAATTTTTACAAATGCTTACAAATTGACATTAAGCTCCTGTGTCTGGGTGCATCTGGGAGTGCCCATGCACTGATGGGGAGCATTGTTTCTAGCATTTTTCAGTTATTATAGAAGCAGTATTTGATAGCCTTCCTTTATATATCATGAATTAAGGGATTTGTTGCCTGGGATGGGGAAACTTGATTACTATTAGCCTTTACGGCATAAACAAAGTTTCGAGAGGAGAATTTTTTAATAGAATGGAAATTCTCTGGGGACGCGATCTGGTTTAACTGGATAATGACCTCATATGGTTCCCTCAAGGTCACTTGTTTTTTTTCCCCTGGGGATCAGGGGATTAATATGCTTGTGGTGTTCTTGAGTAATCCTGATACTTTTGGTTTCTATCTCTCTTAAATTCACTTGTATTTTTTAAGTTAAAGTTATCATGCAATTCTATCGCGCTTTGACTCTTATAGGCAGTTGTGTGCTTGGACGGAGATGACTGCAAAATTCGGAATGGATTGATTGCTATTGAAGAAGATTCAGATATTGATACATCCATTGCTTGCGATTCATGTGATAAATGGTAATTTCATTTTTTTGCTAGGATATATAAACTGAAAATAGTTTTCCCCCCCGAAATTAGCGCACCTTGTATTGAAGTACACTTTTGTTCAGTTGGCAAGACAGGCCTTTCTTTGGTATAAGAACCACTGAAAAGTTTTCTGGATCTTTATATGGGTTTAGTCTCTATTGCACAAACATTTCAACTAGGGTGACATGTCCATGTTGGACACGCATCGACACTTCTTGGACACTCTACCATGGTCATTTTTCTATTTTTATTATCAAAATTATTAAATATTTATTATAAAAAATAACAAATAGTACTCATCATATTTAAAAAATGTCAAGAACAAAAATTAATAATCGGTATATAACTAAATTTAACCTACATAAAGGAAGAATTTTAAAAAGTTTAATTAACGTGTCGACGATGTTTGTGTTGTTACTTTTTTGAAAAATCGAATGTCAGCTTGATCGACACACGCAAGTGTCCGTGTTGGTGCATCATAGAGTTTAATTTAATACGGCTTGTGGGTTCTATTTTGCTTCTTTGCCTCCTTGTACATGTATTTCACTTTTTCCTAACTTAAAAGATTCTTAAATTTACGTGGCACAATTTAATCAGCCATGGTCAATATTGCATAATGGCATTTGAGAGGTCACAAACTCTGAGAAATATGTTCAAAGTCTAAAGATGGGGTTTGATATTCCTCCTCAGACGACTACTATTTCTTTTTACATCTTCCTTTCCCACTGTTCTTTATTTATTTTAGAAGTAAAACAATTTTTTTAAAGGTTTGGTTTATACCAACCAATTTTTAGTAGTCACTCGTTGCTAAAATATCTCAATAAAAGTGGTAATTCTATTACCACATTTATCTTAGAGTGCAATTGGCCTGGCCTCCTAACTATCATGATTACTTTAATGAAGACAAAATTTTACCTGGGCCGAAAGAATCCTTGGCTAACGTTCACTCATTGTAGAACATGTCTTTTTGTGAATGTTTCGTTCGTGCATTTTTTAAATCTGTTATAGTGTTTTTCTAATTGCTTATTTTATTCATGCAATCAGGTATCATGCTTTTTGTGTGGGATTTGATCCTGAAGCCATATGTGAGAACTCCTGGCTCTGTCCAAGGTTGGTGATTTGCATCTGCATGTTGTTCACCGTAGACCAAAACAATCCCTTATTATGTCGATGGTATACGATTTCTTTTGTGTGCCTTTTAGTATAGAATGAGTTAAAGCAGAGCAGTGTGAGAGTTGTGGGAACTATTTCTCAATTGTATGGTGACTGTCCCTGTTGTTCAAATTTTATAATCCTATAATGCATCTATTCATCAAAGGAGGAAAGAGTTTTGACACGGAAAAAACTATTTGATAAGGATGATACAGCTGTATGTCTAATTAATGGCTTTTCTCTGTTACAAGATGCCCCTGCTTCATTTTTAGTTATGGGTTGCCTATTGTTATATTCTCGTCATTCTCTGTTTGTGGATGATGCAGGTGTGTAGTGGATATGCCACAGAAGTTAGCTGAGATTTCAGGATTAAGTTCAAGCAACAAGCATGATGATACAAGCTTAACTGGTGATTGTTCGATGGAAGCTTCTTTAGCAGGAAGAGTATCGATATCTGTAGCTGATGTTGGGGAGACAGCTGTAGTTGTCTCACTAGTTGAAAGAAACCAGAGTGAAGAATTAAGTGTCTCAGCCTTACACGGAAAGGACACAGAAAACACATTTATATCTGCTTCCCTAGCTGATATGCCGAAGTTGGAAGCACCATCGAGCAGTAGTGCTTGCACAGTACCAAACTTCGGGGGACAAGAACTAGAGCTTTACCTAAATACGGATGATGAAGAGATAAGAAGACCAAGATGTTTGATGAACAAATTTTCTGATTCTGGTTTAGATTGTAATTTTGGTTTATCAGTGGGCACATCTACAGCTGGTAATTGTGTCCATGAAGTTTTGCTTATTTGATTCTATTTCTTATTTGAAAGTCCATCTTAAGATAGCTGAAGATTCAGTTTTCAGTTTATGTCATGCGTTTGCCTTATCTATGCTTTCAGTCGACGTGATACACAATAAAAATGCTGAAGATCAGGTGCCTGGATATGTGGAACTGAAAAATAGTTCGGAGGAATCCCTTTTACCAGGTATAAGAGTGAGTGAGCCTATAAATTACTTCTTATGGGGTATTTCTTGAGCAATGAGCTTTCAGGATTTGTAAGCAATTGAATTTTTGATGCATTCTACAATAAATCAAAGATAATCTCATTGTTAGTTCTTGCCTTTCCATTGGTGATTTCAGCTGACAATGTGATGCCAGATAATAAGGAAGTGCTTTCAGTTGACAATGTAACATCAGATGCAAGAAATAATGTGGTTGGAATTAGTGGTTCTAAGAGAAAGCAAAGAGATAACAGGTTGTTACAGTTAATCAAACTTATCTTTTTTAGTTCTCACCAAGTAATATGCTTTAAATGTTGTTGGATTCCCAAAATGCTGTGTTCCTAATGTTGCTGCTGCTTTATATCCATGATAGTTGTTTGTTTAATACACTCATTTTTAGTGGGTAAAGAACCTCTTGCAGGTGTGGTAAGACATTGATGCTGGTTTTTCTGTGCTTACATGATATGCTGAATGAAGTTTTATTTGACTTGAAATGTTGTAAATAGTCCCATGGAAAAGGTCTATTAAGCAACTACTTTTTCCAACGTAACTTTTGGTTCAGAACTTACTTTTCAAAAGTAAGCCGTTCCATTTCAATAAGTACTACATTTTTTAGGCTTAGCTGGACATGCTCCAAGTCTTTACATTTCAAATGGTACTATCCTTTTTGTAGGATTCATTTTGTGCTCTAAATCCAATATTGACCACAAGGATTCAGGTGCCTATGCTTTATTGGCTGTACAAAGAAAAAGTAAAAAGCAGA